GGGAGTTGAAGTCCACGAGTCATAAAAGAGCCAAGGTTGACTACCCCTGGTTTAGGATTTGCTCCTTGGCTTTCATGTGGCTTCACTTGTATCGCCTCCAAAGGTTAGTAGAAAGAGTTAAAAGTCTGGGAGAGAATCTCGGTGCCCTTGTTAATTTTGCGTTAGGAAAAGGAAGGCAGGAATATGAGCTTCAGTGTAGTTTTTTTTTTTTTAAAGAAAATTATAGTAGACATTTAGGGAGGTGGAATAATACCTTGACTTTGCCATCTTCTGCTGGGCTGCTCTGTTTTATGACATGCTTCTCGCGGTCTTCTACAGACTACACAGCATCACACAGTCACAGAGGAACAACACATGCACAAACACATACATATATAAAAAGGGGGAAAAAATGAAAAACCTTCCAGGTCAGTAGTTAAGTGGACACCTTGTTCTTCATTTATTTATTAAAGTTTTTTTTTATCCCGACTTTATTCCCTTGAGTTAGAAGTAACTCAAGGTGGTGAGCATATGTAATACTCCTTCCTCTTCCTATTTGCCCCACAACAAGAACCCTGTGAAGTGAGTTGGGCTGAGATGGAGAGAGAGGGACCAGCCCAAAGTCATCCAGCTGGTTTTCATGTCCAAGGTGGTACTAGAATTCACGGTCTCCTGGTTCCTAGGCTAGCACCTCACCCATTACACCAAACTAGCTCTCTGACTTGGTGCTGTGCTAAAGTTTGAATGCGGTTGACATGCTGTTCTACATAATATGTGTTCTTGATCACCCTGGCTTTTTTCTTTTAGGAGAAGGGGCAAAAATGGAGCGATTCTAAAAGCACTGCCAAGTAGAGGAATGCAAATTCATAGCATACAATAGGCAAAGCCGAGGAAAAGTATGGGCAAGTTTCATTCTAGCTGGATATTTTAATCTGCAGTCTTGCTGGGCCCAGTTTTCTTGTTTTGAGAATGGACTCCATGCAGGATGCAATACTGCCCATCCAACCAATGCTCAGCAGCATGGAAGATCACTCATCTGGATGGAAAAGGATGAGTTTAAGGCTATCCAGATGTTGCTGAATGGCATCCCTTATTACTGGTCAGGGTGACTAGGAAAATTGTGAGTAATTCAGGACACTTGTAGTTTCCCAGACTTTGCCCAATACATTTGCTCAACATGTGGGTATATCATACCCATCTATCTTCTCCTTCCCTTTCAATACAGGAAAAAAAAAAGAGAGGATAACATTGTTTAATCCAGTATCTCCCCTGACCATGTTTTACTCACAGCGTGGATTGCTAAGAAAGGAAGCTTCATCCTAAATAAGCTTAAGATTAATACCTTAGTTATTTCTGAAACTAAAAGGGCGTTGAGTGTCCACCGAACTGAATAAACTAAGCTAAAAAAAGGAACACAGCATGCTCCTGTCCATAAAGTTGGGCTATTCAGGTACTGTCATTGTAAGCATTTATTATCATTTATTTTAAAGAAAGTGTTAGGAGATCCTGTATATTAGGAGTTTTGGTATGATTCTAACTCAGTGAATTTTGCCAATATTTCTCCTCCTAACCATCTCGGCTCAGATACCTACCACCAATAAGTCTTACAAAAGGGATTTCTATTAAGACAGATCTTAATAAATGCTTACAATGACAATTTCCCTATTATCTTTAATCCAACAAAGCCAATTAAACTCATCATTAAATTAATTAAACTTTGTGGCGAAGGTTGTTGAGAGTGTGGTTGCACGGCAGTTTCCCCGGCACCTGGAGGAAACGGTCTATCTGGACCCTCTCCAGTCGGGCTTCAGGCCGGGGTACAGCACGGAAACGGCATTGGTCACGTTGGTTAATGATCTCTGGAGGGCCCGGGACAGGGGTTGTTCCTCTGTCCTTGTTCTTTTGGACCTCTCA